TATGAATATTCATGAGATGATACAACATATTATAAGGTTTTTTATAATGCATTATGCATTCATTATAATGCCTTAAGAATACCCTTATAATGTATTATAAATATGGGCTTCATAGAAAGTGTTACCAACTATTTTTTATTTTTATTTTGAAAGGAACCATAAAAACACGTTTCAACCATCGATATGCAAACAACTTTTTGAACATATTTTCACAACATACTTCGAACACAGGCTTACAGTTTTGACGTGAATAAAAGTGTGCGAGTCCATTGATTCACATGTTGCTGGTCTTCGGTGTGTTTCTCAGCGTGTGCGCCCAGTCTCCAGTGGCGGAGCAGAACGGGCACACGTAGCTCCTCAGGATCGGGCAGAGGATCCGTCCGTCTCGGGCTTTCAGTCTGTGACTCGCGTAAACCACCGCCGTCTCTCCGTTTTGTCGGCAGAATCCGCAGGTGTCTCGCGGGGTGCGAAGGTCGCGGCTGGAGGAGGCAAAGGTGCTGGAGGCGCTGCTGGTGGAGCCGGCTCTCATGAAACCCTCCGCGGGTGTCCTACCCTCAGCTGAGGCTCGTCCTTCGTCGCGATGCTCCAGCAGCTGCGACAGAGTCTTGCGGAGATCCATGTAGTCGCGCCACATGAGGAAACAGCCGTCAGCTGCTGGGATGCTCTTCTCGCGCTTCTCGGTCATAGAGGAGGACTGCATCATGTCCGGGTTGAGTCAGGTGTGTGTCACCCATCATCACCCCGAACTATTTATAGGAGAATCGTCTAAAGACCCCAGACAGGAATGCGTTGTGTCTGGGGCACTGAACACCTGGCCCGTGCTTGACCGAGGTCGTCACAAGGTCACTAGGGTCAGGCTGACTTCCAGACTGAGTTCACGTGAGCGCTGCTGTCTGTCTGTCTGTCTGTCTCTTGTTAACATTGTAACATTTTCAACTAGTACATGCCAACTTGTGCTATTAAAAATAAGTTGCCAGAACCTACCAGTAAACAGCCTGACAAAATCTAAGCAAACAACCCTTACAAAACGAAGTTTATTCAGAAACAAAAACTAAATTAAAAATTAAATTAAAAGCTAAGTTTAAATTTAGATTCCCAAATGTGTTTTTCTTTATTGCTTTTGTTAACTTTAAGGTTCAAGTTTTTTTTTTTTTTGAGTTCATGTAATGTGTTATTTGGAATATATATACCAACAAACATTTTGAGATCATACACTCCAGGCTGGGCCATCTTTGATTTATCAAAAAAGATGATCCTTTTCTGTTATCAAAAATGTTGATTACACATGTTAATTAATGTAATAATCAGTGAATGTCAGTTTATTCAATGAATGTGAGTAGAATTAGTGAAGTTTCAAGTTGGCTCACTTTATCTTTTGAAAATCATATTCCATAAGTTATAAAAACAGCCTTCTTCTATCTTAAGGCCAAGTGCCACTGCACTGACAGACGCAGACCAACACTGACAGTCAACCGTGTACAGTATGTCACTTCTCAGACGTTCCAAGACCGACAAATGCAGATCCAACATCTTCAATCAGTGAAAACAAGTGCCAACCAACAGACACCGACAGGGATAACACACTAATGTCACGAATGTGTCTGTTGCTGTTCATCGGCGCCTGTCAGTGCGTTGTGAATTGGCCTTTAGTAACATTGCCAAGACGCGGAACATGATATCTTTTTCTGGTGCTGAAAAGCAAGTTCATGCATTCCTCTAGATTGGATTATTGTAATGCACTATAGGTGCTTGTACTGCATCCTCAATAAACAAGCTACAGTTCAAAATGCAGCTGCTAGAGTTCTTACTAGGTCAAGATAATATGATCATATCACCCCGGTTTTATCATCTCTACGCTGGCTACCTATTCAGTTCAGTATTTATAACAAAGTATTACTGCTTACTTATAAGGCCCTAAATGTCCCAAGTATGGAAATAATACACTTACAAGTATGCTACTTGTACTGTACATTGAAATTAGTACAGTATATACTTGGAAAATATACTTGAATGTTACTGAAGTTTACTTAATAAAAAATGAATTTCAAGAATACTTATTTTTGTAAGGGGAGTAATGAAACGGCAAAATCATACATATGCACAGATTATATCACAATAAACATGGGACACCTCTCCCCAAACTGATATTTGTATAACTAAATAATGAGTCAGTAAATAATTTCTATATGGAGCTCACACAGAGGCATAATCATGCTTAAAAACGTTGATACATTTGAGCTAAAGTTGTGTAAGTAATGTAGCATGTGGCTATTCAACACCTGCACTTTAATTCAGTGTTACTGGCTTTGTTTATGCTTTTAATAAGTATATGTCATGCTGTCCAATATTGATCAGTTTTTACAGCTAAGCATTGTTTACTGTGGATTTACTATCCAACAATTCACACCACAGTAAAGTCACCCCACATAAGCATATTTAAGATATTTGACTTCAAGTAGACCTTTTAATAAAACAAAAACTTGCTGTGCTCAATGTACACTTTTATTTATTTGACTAAAAACGGGGAAAAAAGGTCACATCAACATTTACCCTTGTTAATACAGTATACTCAATATCTTTCCAACAGAAGTAAAATACACCAGTTTTTAATTTCCTTTTATATTAAAATATCAACTAGTCTGCAATCTAACAGTGCTTATGAAGTACATGTCACTGGCTTTATAGCAGAAAAGTTACATTTTTCCCTCTGCTCTGCCAGTGGTCTTCAGCAGTGGAGTAATAATAATAATAATTAAATAAAATCAAAATACAAAGAAGAAATTGAACCTTTGTGTTATCCTGCCAACTTTTTATCTGACAAGCTGAACATGCAAAAAAAAAAAGGGCAATAACACAGACCTTTCTACAGAATAAACTGAAGTATCACCAGACACTTCAACTTGCAAAGGTGAAAGGAGATGATTTTTCTCCAAATCAAGACATAATTTTGCATTTTTCCAAGTATAATCTCACTACATTGCATACCGCGACTGGTCCCAAAAGCTGGCTGACTTAACTGTTAGTTTCTCTCTTCTACTGTATAATCAAGTCTATACTGACAGGAAGTTAAAATGAATCAAAAACAAATAGACCAAAAATTGCAAACGAAGGACTCTATAGTCTCAAAATGTACTGAACTGTACAGGCACAATTAAATCATAATAAATAGGGCAATTTTTGGCCTGGATGTACTTGGACAAGGAAGGTCTGGGATTTCAATGTTTTGCCCAGAAGGAAACATTCGCAGCATGAGATTTTATTTTGAACAAATGCATTTGCTCTATCTCTCTCACATAAACACACACACTCACAGCTCAGTGGCTTCATATCACATACACAAAAGCTTATGAAACAAAACAAAACAAACAAATAATATTTATAAACATGTAAATGCTGAGTTCACTTCCAGCTGCGGGATCACTGAACTGGGCTTCAGAGGAGATGCCACAATGGATGCAGACATCCCAGCATGCATCTGCAACTCAGACGAACCAACATCCCAAGACACAACCTTCAGATGGGACGGTGCATGATGTGTTTGACGTGTGTTTGTGTTTGGCAGGACAGCTGTGTGATAAGTGCAACATTTGTATAAGGTGATGCTGAATCCTGGGCTCGCTCGAGATGGTCCTCCTCTCGCTGCAGTTCTTCTCCGCACTGGAGCGAAGCTTAAGCTCCCATTACACATGAACACGACTGGAGACAACAAACGCAGGGGAGAATGGCCACAGTCTCTCTCTGTCCCCCCGTTGGCTTTGTACACAAAAAAGACCATGTTTGAGAGGAAGGGAGTCTGTTGTTGGAGTTAGACGTCAGTTGAGAAATAGAGTGTGTTCTTCTTCAGCTCAGCGAAGGATATGGGTGGATGCTGCAGGTAGTACAGCAATACCTGAACCTGTGAAGAGAGAGGAGGATTCATGACACTAACATTCTCAATCATATGTCAAACTATCAGCGTTATTCACCCACACCACTAGATGGTGCTGCAACTCCTGCATGAATGCCACTGTGAGTTTAGTCTGATGAACAATCTGGAAACTGCTACCAGTGTTGCCAATTTAGCAATTTTGTTGCTAAATTTAGCAATGTTGTATTTAAAATTAGTTATTTATATTTTAATATTATATTATGCATTTATATTATTTTATAAACACATCTAAATTAACATATACAAATTTAATTTTTTGCTGAGATTTGATGCAGACACACAATTTTGCATTGTGATTACGCAATGACGTCACCACGCAATGACATCGCAACGTCATTTAGCAACTTCCCCTGAAAATTAGTTGGCAACACTGACTGCTACTCTTTAGCATGGAACAAGCCATATCTAAGTTCAGAATTGGTTCTGACTGAAGAAAAGGGAACGAGCAAAACATTGTGTCCTAACCAGAGGCCAGATTATTTATAATGATAATAATAATAATGGTAGTTGTAGTAATAATACAATTATTATTATTATTATTAGTAGTAGTAGTAGTAGTAGTAGTAGTAGTATTAAGACTAAGAGCATATGAGCTACAAACTATAAATAATAATAATATTCATCATCATTATTATTGAGATCAAGAAAGCAACAAACTAATAATAGTAGGAGTAGTAGTAGAGGTATTAATAATACAATTATTAATAATAACAGGGTGGGTGTATGACTTCTGATTGTCTTATGTTGTGTCTTGGAGCATTTCAGTGGAAATTGGTTAACCATGGAAAATTCTCATGTCAGAGCTGGTTATGACTTTCAGCTCAGGCCGCTTGTTCAGTTTCTGATATATCATGAACAATCAATCCATAATGGCAGACATCAACAATCAAAGTGTCTCTTCAGATCCACTCACATAGCAAACATGCTGCTTTAGATGAGCAACACATGAGCGCATAAATGCATGAGTGAGCTGAAGAAGCCCAGTGCTCTGCTCTTAGCCTAAGGGCGGTGTGTTATGACAGAATGTAAATCAAGATGATGGAATAATCACAGACCACATCAGTATCACTGTAATAATGATGAGTACTGATGTGCATCTACAAACTGTCAAACACGCCAAACCACAATGCATTAACTGATATATGATACATCCATGCTGGGAAAGACTCCAGAAGTCGTTTCCAGACAGTGTAAAGCACTGAGTGAGCAGTGAGTATGTAAGCCAGGACTGACCTGTGCCATGACATCATGTGACCAGATGTCAGAGGCCAGTGTGATGTGGGCCTTACTGCTCTCCGACTCTGACGGTCTCAGCAGAGTGGGGCCAAACACTGTGGCCAAATTATGCAGAGACATCTTATTGACCGGCTCCTTCTCTGCCACCCTAAAATGAGAGGAAACAAACACCGATACAAAACTGAATCACATCTTATTAAACAATCATGAAGTTGAACAGAGTTTCTAATGACTCGACACGTGTACTGTAGCTCAAGTGTGATGTATAGAGTTGTCCAGCAGGTGAGCAGTGTTGTTAACTAAATCCAGCATGTGCCGTGTGTGTCTGTGATGTGTTAATGGGTAGTAGTTGGAGTTGGCAATATGGCCTCCAGAGAGATTATTTGTGACAGTGTTTATAAACCTGAGGCCTTGCTAGCTAATTGCCGACGTTTCAGAGAGATTCGTGTGAATTGCGACAGCAGTTTCACACGAACTAAAATAAAACAGAACCCGGGCATTTATGATGGTGACTGAACTGATGTTCGTATGAAGCTGCTGGCTTTAAAGAGTCATTGTCAACAACATTACTCAGCTTCAGGTATTGTCTTCCCTTCATTTAAATATATTTTAATCTGGAATTAATCAGCAGCCATTATTTCAGTCTTTAGTGTCACATGATGCTTCAGAAATCATTCTCATATGATGTTTTGGCGCTCAAGAAACATTTCAATGTAGAAAACAGCTGTTTTCAAGAATTGCGGTAAAATAAAAAATAAATAAAAAAAGCACAAAAAACAACAACATAATAACTGAGTACCATACAATTGACAATAAATCAGCATACTAGACTGATTTTTGAAAGATCATTTGACACTTAAAACTAGAATAATGACGAATTTGTTGGTTACCATGAAGAAAACATTCTAATGATAAATCATACTAAATTATGTTTTTTGAAAATGTAAAAATGCTGAACGCTTTCTGTAAGGATTGAGTATAGTGGTAGGGTTAGGAGATCGATTATACAGTTTGTACAGTATAAAAATCATTATGTCAATTAAACATGGAAACTCAACATGAGTGTGTGCTCTTACCTCTTCAGGTGTTCCAGTAGAGTGAGGAATGTGATGAGATTTGGGTCTGGTAGTGACCGTAACAGATGCATCATGCAGTTTTCTTTTGCTGCAGGATCTGATAGAGCTATGATGAAAAGGAGTTTGATAAAGTGGAGTGTTATAACACATCTAAACATTCTAAATGACTCCTATTTGCTACTAATCACACAGTGCTGCAGTTTTAAATGTGAAAGAGATTACAGATGAAAGGTCATACCAATGCCCTCCATGAAGGCCGGGTACAGTCGGTCTGTGAGAAGAGGTTCTGGCAGCTCCCTGAAATACAATTTCAGTGTCCCTGCTATGGCATTAATGTCCATATCACTCAACATCATCAGGATATCTTTGGTATCTGAGAAAGAGAGACAGAGAGAAAGAGTGAATGATTTGCCATCACAACAAACGCTGCAGGAAACACTCATGCAGGCTGAGTAATAAAGCTCCCGGTATGACATATGACATAATAGTGAGTAACACATGTATGCTAGCTGAAGGTACAGCTCTGGATAGTCCCTACAGACTATGTGTGTGTTTGTTTACTGAGCCAGCTGACAGCTGGAAGGGGTCAGACCTCTGCATGGCCTTTCCCACAACACTGCTGCTGCTTTCAGACTCAAGACACAGGCCTCCACTGACCTCACATAACCAGAGAGAGAGAAAACAGCGAAAGGAGACTGATGGGAAAATCAAAGAAAAATATAAGATGTATTAGGAATAAAGGAATGGAGAAAAATCTGACTAAAAGGGATCTGACTAAAAATGCTGATGCAAATTGCCACCTCTGTTCCCAGCCAATCAGACTGCAAGGTACCACCCAAAATGCCACCATAACCAAATCACAAAATAAAAAAACAAAGGCACATTTGGTACTTTTGCATATATAGTAGTTGTATGAGTATGTGAAGTGTAATTGGTTAATATTCTCTTACTGGCGTCAAACGCAGCTTTGAGGGCCTGGATGTCTGTGGCCACTCCAGAGATCCTGTAAATGCCCACTTCATCAATCCCTCTCTTCTCCACCTCCTCAATGCACTGCCGCACAATGTAAGGCACCTTGGAGCGTTCACGCCTGAGGAACAACAACAGGCAAAATCAATGTACATTATATAAACATACAGGGAGAAACTATGCCGGCTTTGACAAATGTTGTTCAGTAAGGCTAAATCCACCATAATGATGAAGTGTATTGATGCATTGTATTTTAAATATTTTAAGTCTGAAATAATGACAGTTTTTTTCATCCATATTGTGACATACTGTAAATCTGAAAGTAATGGATTATCAAAAAAGACAAAAAAAAGTAGCGTGGGGACTCCAGATTTTGAGATGGAGCCAGATCTGAAAGCAAGCTTGCAGAGGTGTGGTTTAAATGGACTAAATGATGGGAGAAGTCTTGCATAGAACGTCACCAGAAAGAAGTCATTTTCACCAGAAGGTCCAGTTATGACATATTAATTAAGGTCAAAAAAAAAAAAAAGAAAGAAACAAACAAACAAACAAATGCATGGATGAACCGTTCACAATAAGTTTAGTAACATGCATTTAGAAAATATCCCAGCTTTAAGACATGACATTTCACTCACTTTGTTACCACGCTGATTTTGACCCCAAACACGCCACTCTGCTTCTTAGATGGCGTTCGCTTCAAACTTAAGTCCCGACTTGTAAACTTCATGGAAAACTCCACTTTAATCTGAGAAGGAACCATAAATGAGATAAGTCACAAGAAACTAAGCGTAGGGCAATAATGCAAAAAGTATCAATACGATTGATGGGAAATAAATTAGTACCCCATTCATTTCTATGACGTCCATATGCCAGTTTTTGGACTGCACAGTCTGTGGGTCCAGCTGTAAAGAGACAGAGAGATATAAGTATGAGAATTACTTCATCGTTAATGCAATGCAATGCAAACACCGTGGCCTCACAGAATATTGTCACAGGTCAAAGGTTAGTTGTGAGAGACCACAAAAGACCAAGAGTGCTGAAGGATTATTAAATTAAGGCCGGTGAAAGAAATCAGAAAAATATTTCAACAATGAATACTGATAAATTGCCTCCAGAAGGAAAAAGCCCTGAGGCTCAGAAAACAGCCACAGTTTTGAGTATTTCAGGAGAAAAGCTGTTTATCAGGGTGCATGAGTGTATTTCAGGTTTATGATGCAATTCTTTGAGCAATATATCAGTAAACGCCTGCATTGTATGTTAAATTGCAAATGTATTTATTTGTTCACAATACACATTGTTTCAAAGCAGCTTTAAAGAAAATCATCATGCTAAAAGTTTATAATTTCTTAATGCCTTATGGTTGCATAGTTTACATTTTGCAATGATACAAGCAATCAAGCAGTTGAGATTTGCTATATAGTATGTCTGTTTCTACACGCAAAGTCTTTATGTGAACATGTTAAACCTACAACAGTGGCTTATTTTTATCTATCCCCCTCAAAATCATTTTGCTATTCTATCTAAAAATTCCCAGCCAGTCCTTTCTATAAAAAACCCTGAGAAAGTCACAGTAGATTTCTTCCCTTGTTATTGCATATCTAGACTGTAAATGTGAAAGTTAACTATACTAAACTGCTGCATGAGAGCAGGAGTCCAGCATGGATGAATCAAACCTGAATGAAGCCCTATAATGAACACTGTCTTCACTCAAACACGGCACTATAAACACAACATGAATCAATAAAGCAAGGATCACTACTTCAATAAACTGGATGTGTGACAGTGACAAAACTGTTATATTCAGAGATCAGGCTATTTCTGTCATATATACCACTGAGTGTTTGGTAGTTTCCATAATTCATAAGAACTCACACTATGATATTTAGGTGCTTTCGTGCTACTGTCCTATGAACATATAAGGAAAACCACTCTAGACAAAATCTGTGCTGTTTCCATTAACACACAACTCTCTGAGGAGAACAGACTTAGTTACACTCTCTCTCATATACACACCAGTTTCCCATGCTACATGCCACAGACAAGATGGATGATGGGAAGGGCTATCTAGGGAGGACTCTCCCCACTCTTAAAGGGGTAATATGATGGCCCCCCCCCCCCCCCCACACACACACCCCACACACACTCTTAAACTAATCTGTCAATCAAGCCTAAAGGTACACAATAATAAACAACCTGACAGTCTGAACCAGTTACTGATCACTGTTAGAAATCCATTAAATATGCTGTACTGATCTAAACTAAGACTCAATCTAAACCAATTCCTGTGCATGTGCATTTGATTAAACTTCACTAACAATCAACATGAAGTTGGCAGACGCATGAGGGAACACAAACAGCACACATGCTGACAAAACTGCCATAAAATTAACATTTACAGGAAAACATGAATAGGTTGAATAGCTTTTTATGGGAAGGTCTGACAAGGTCTGTCAAGCACATAAAACTGCATTAGCTTGTATCACTAAAATCTATTCTCTCAATACAATTAGTGGGCAATCATCATTACTGATGCAGTTTGTACACATATTAGGACTATAATGAGATTCTTATCAGATATTTATGGAATGCTGCAGCCTTGTTATTATCCCACTGCTAAACCAATATGACATGTTTACACCAATCACATTAACAGGCTAATAAATGGCTATTTTGAGCTCAGCAGTGAGGATTCAGGGAGTCTGGTGTTCACTGCGGTTCTGAGGTTAATCCAGATCAAATTATCTGACATTTAAAAAAATGTATTGACCTTGACAGAGTCATGAGGGTCTGCATGGCTCTCTATTGTATTTTATTTATTTTTCTTTACTGTGTACTTTGATTTAGCAGACATATTATTTTTTTTTTTTAGAATTTGTGTCATCATAAATCACAATTATGTCAAACTATTTAAGAAAGGCTTTTTATTATAGAATATATTTATTCAAATCATCATAAATCTAGTTTTGAATAACCTAAAAGATCTGGGCAACTCCTTGACTGATAAACTCTGAAGTCATATGCATGTCAAATCACTTGTAGCTGTCATTCTCTTTATGAACTATTAATGAAAATAACAGTATTTATCACTCCAAACACTCTGACAGCCATATTCTTCTGCAATATGAATGTAGCTGTACAGATCCCAAATACACATGCTACACATGCCCTTACTTGAGCCTTTCTCTAACCTTCTGGTGCTTCTTACAGTACTTCATTAAAAATGTATGGAATCAAACAGGTCCATGATATGCCAAGAAAATCCTTTAATACAGCTAAACGGCTTACCATCACAGAGACTCGGCTTGTAGTCACCTCATCTGCCCAAGTGCTTTCCTCCCAACTCCTAGTAAAGGTCCGAGGGGATTTCACCTCACATCACCCCACAAACACCACTTTTCCCTTTCCTCTGGGAAATCTCAGAGTTTGGGATAAAAGAGCCCAAAATGTATGTCTATGGGATTATTTTAACAGCATACTCAATTGATTCCCAATAAGCCGGACTGGACAATCATTTTAGAAGTGGTGTGAAGGTCAGAGTGGAAACTTGTTCTCAGCATGTACCAACCATCTTCAAGACTTTACACCAGTCAATAGTACTGTATCTTCAATGTCCTCATTTAACTGCTCAGGGACTGCACAACCAAAACAAAGATGGGAGCTCCTCAGCTCTGAAATATTTTGAATTAAGAGCATCCGTGCAGACCTGAGAATGAGGTTTATGTTTTCTGACCCAAAAGCTTTGAAAAGGTGAAATGAGTTCTGAGGAGCTCTGGTCCACGGCAACCTCAAACGATCTCTCTAATAACAGCCACATGAAAAATCATCTAGAAAACAGGATCAATCACATAAATATTCTTTGAGAAAAAAGGGTAACACTTACCATAGTAAATATGTTATTACCATGTCACATGCTGAAAAACCGTTTTAATTATCACGGTACATGTCCAGAAATTATTACCATGACACATATCGCAAAAAAACACATGCTATAACTACACCTACAAAAAAGTATTCTTGGTATTCTTGGATGTACCATGCAAACACCATAAGACATAATTTAACTACCTTGGCACAATTTTAAACACAGAATATTTCAAAGTACCATTGTATTACCATTTGATTCAACAGCATATGGTATTACAATTGTACATGTCTAAAAAAAACAAGGTATTACCACACTAGATGCCTAGAAACCATGTGTTATCATGAAAAAGTGGTATTATTACAACACATGCCCAAAAAGTTATAGTGTTCCCATGATACATATTGAAAAAAACATGGTATTATCAGGGTAATAAGAAATATTTATTTACAAATGGATGTTATAGTTAGTATAGAGCACTGAACTTTGGAGATACAGATCTCCATTCTGTTCTCTTCCTTCCTGCCATCTCGTTCTCTCTCATTCAGCACGTCCCCCACCTCCCACCCCGTCTCCCTCATCTCCCTCTGTTCTGCCAGCCTGCTGCTGTACGGAGCAGGAACACAGTGTTCTCTGGCCGGCCTCTCTCTGCTCTCTCTCTCTCGAGTCAAAGAGTCTCTGCACAGAGGGTCCTTATAGAGAACAAAGGGAGGAAGAACATGATATCAGTGCATTTGTTACAAATAAAGCAGGCGCATGCAGCACATGAGTCATTGTTAAAATGACTATAAAACCCCACTACTCCTCTGATTATGTGTGTGTATGTGTATGTGTATATATATATATATATATATATATATATATAGTGTAGTGTAGAGCCTCACAAATAGCTTTGAGAAGAGCCGCTGACTGACAGATTGCACATGGTTCAGCAAACTAAGGTTACACTGACCTATAATGACTGATGCATTGTCATATTATATTCCCATGGTTTAACACTGAAATATACACTACTGTTTAAAACATAGAAGTGAGTAATGATGTTGAAAGAAATGAACACTGTTTTCAAAAAGGATGCATTAAATTGATCAAGGGTGACAGTAAAACATTTATAGTTACGTATAGACATATTCTCTTCTAATTCATTTTCTATTTATCAAAGAATCCTGAAAAGTATATAGATTTCCACAAAAATATTGAGCAATTAGTGCTTTGAACACTAATAATAATAATGAGACATTTTTTTCTGAGCAGCAAAATCAGCATTTTAGACTGAATTCTGAAGGATCATGTAACATTGAAGACTGGAGTAATGGCTGATGAAAATTCAGCTTTGCCTTCACAGGAATAAATTACATTTCAAAATATAATAAAATATAAAACAGTTATTTTCAGTTGTAATAATCTTTAACAATATGGCCGTTTTACTGTATTTTTGGTCCAATAAAAAGCAGTCTTGGTGACTATATAAATCTTTTCAAAAAATTTTACCAACCCCAAACTTTTGTTCTTTATACAGCAAGAACAGGGAAATAAAATGATGAGACTACAAGCTCATAACATCATTTCTTTGTCACAGCACTCGGCAACAGTGCAGAAAACTATGCCAAGAGTATTTTAGAATCTGTCAGCATTGGTAGAAGAATTCAGACTTTGAAGAACCAATATTGGAACCAAATGTCATGAAAAAGTCATGACAAATCAGAAAATGGAATCAGTTGGGACCAGCTCGCAAATCCCATCTCTACACAATTCTATCTTTCAGAGGTTGCTTCCTTGAAGAAGCCAAAACAGTCAAACTCATCTTTTATAAAGTATAACATCCAGCTCCAGTGTACTGTCAGATGTTCAGACGGAGGCGATTTATGTGATTGGTGTAGCTCTGTGCTCGTCCTCCTTACATGAAGAACCTCGGTATTGCATAATAAAGCCTAACGCATTGCTGAAGATGTAATGTGACTCATGTTGTGAGCAAACATGCACAAATACAGCAAAAACAGCTTGTATTTATGCTGCTTAGTTTATACTGTAAGAACACAC